AACTTACGTGTCAGGCACTATATTAGGCCCCCTACAGATAAAAAAGATATGACTTTGAAAGTAGTTCCAAAGGTGAGTACCTAATACGTTTCTGGATTCTGACATTCTCTGCTCAGATGATGTACTATCACAATAACAACAGCATCCATATCTGTAAAAAGTATGATGATCAGACAACAAACAAGCTTCATTACTGTCTCTCTCATGTATTGCCAGTCAAGCAATAAGCATTTATCAAGCACTCACTTTGTGCTGTTAAATGTATTGATTATTATCTGATTAATGATTAAGAGTTGTAGTTAATCCCTGGAATCAGTACTTACGGATTTAGATTTAATTGGATCTGAATTTAATTGAATAGGCCTCAGTAGCAGAGTTTTTAAGAGTTTAGGTTCCCTAATTTTAAGGGCTACAATCTGGTCCTGTCTCATGAGGGAGATAAGGAAGATGAGTGGAAGATGGGTCAACCTTGTCAGAAGTTATTTTGCTTGGCACTGGGTCCTTCTAATGTTAAGTAGTATCTGGCACAGAACTTTCCAACTGGTGTTATTCAATTCTGTGTTTTTCTCATTGCTACAGATTCTGGTGACTCTTCCTAAGTCACAATGAATTGGCAAAATCTAAGCCCACCCTTCACCTGTGCTGTAAACCAACCAGTTTGCATCACTAACCCTATGTAACCAACTACATAAAAAAGCTGCTCTATCAGGTGCATCTTTAGCTATTGAAAAGCCATTACCTTTTTTATTAGCAATTGTCAGATTTTCTAATAAGTTAATCATGTCCAGAATCTTGTGCCTCAGTTTCTCTTCATTACAGATTTTAATCACAATGGTGCAACACATTATGCCAAGCACTGGGAATACAATGAAAGGCAAAAGACAACCCCCATATTCTCCAGGAACTCAAGAGTAATGAGGGAGATAACATGCAAGCAATAAACTTTCAATGTTCCTTCATTATCAAATCATAATCAAATGGGATGTCATAATCAAAAGGGATCATAGAGGCCATCAAGTCCAACCCAAACCTGAAGAGCAATACTTTCCACAAAACACCAAACAAGTCATTCAGCCTGTGTTTTATCTTCAAGCATCTTCAATTGCTCAATGCGGAGGAATCCCGCTCCCTCCAGACTCCCCTATCTACTTTGGAATAGCTATAATTACTAGAAAATATTTTTTTCTTAAATTGAAGTCCAAGTTGCTTCTCTGTAACATTTACCAATTGCTACTAATTAATTGATCTTTCACAATATAGCCCTCTAACTATTAGATAATTTCTATTATTTCCGCCCCATAAGTCTTGTCTTCTCAAGGATAAACATTCTCAGTTCCTAAAGGTACATGATATTGAGGCATTTCAACAATCCTAGCTACTCTCCTTGGCATGTTCTCTAAATTATCAATATCTTTTCAAAACTTTGGCAGCCAGAGCGCAATACAGTACTCCAGATGTGACCTAAGTCTATGGGAAACAATTCTAATGAGGAGAGGAAAAATGTAATTGGAGTAAAAAAGGCTCAGATGGATGCACAGGGAATTCCCCAACCAACTTAGATTTTAAAAGAAATATACAGAAGGTGGAAGCAAGGTCAGGTAACACAAGATAAGAGCATGGAAAGATCCTTAAAACAGTGTCAAGTGAGCTAAAATTCAAAATGATCTAAGACTAGCAAGGGAAATTAAGAACAACATATTTTTAAGCTATCCTCTCAAATACTCATGCGTACTTGATATATCATTAATTTGAGACTTTCCTTCACAATTTATTTAGGCCTTCCTATTCCATGACCTAAAAACTTTATGATATCCAGCACCTTCAGGCCAATTTGCTACTTCTCTGCCACTGCCACTGAGAAAGTGAAAGGGGATTGATGACCCCTTAGTAATTTTCTACATATCACAGATTTCAATGGAGGGGAAAAATGCTACCAGTAGTCTGCCTAATAGTGATGAGCTTCTCCATATTTAGCTGGACTAGTCCTCAGAAAACAGACTTAGTCTTTCACCAGAAACATACTGAAAGTCTTACCAGAATAGTAAAACATAACAGAGCATACAAAATGCTGACAGAGCCTTGGAGAACCTAGGGTCACTTAGATACCATGATGAGGCAGCAGAGTAAGCTTTGGGGGGCTTACTTTTAGGCTTTATCGGAAAAGAAAAGAAGATCAAAAATGGAAGAGGATATTTGGAACATATGGAATGATGATAATTGATAACATACAGATGTATACATATTCAATAGTTATTTATTTTTATTTCATATGCCTAGGATAATGACTTTTACACTGGAAATAACAAAATGGCTAACAGGAAATTCATATGAAAAATAATTACTGAGCTCATAAAAAGTACCTAGTTGCCCCCTGATAAATCAAGTCATACAGCTCTGATAACCTAAGATCATGGGCACTGAAAGAATTGGCAGCAATGATTGTTGAAACACTGCCAGTAGTATCCGAATGGTCATGGAAAATAGGAGAAGTATTAACAAATTAAGACCGAAAAATCTCTGACAGGTTTTTTTTTTCCTGGAGGTTTTTGTTTGTTTTCTGGTTTGCTTTTGTTTTTGTTTTGTTTTATTTTGTTTTTCCCAAAAAGTCAATGAAACAATTCTTCAGATTTAATTGGGCCAATAGACTAATGCTCCAGCCATTGAAGTACTTACCTGGTTGCTAAAGCATAGAAATCCCAACATATATATAGTCAGTTCTCTCCATATTTGATGAATTCCTGCTGCCATGTGACCAGTTGTGTCTCTATACTGAGTTAAAGGGAGCTATGACCAGATGAACCAGGACTGCATGTTTGTTAAACAGCCTTCCAACATGATGGAACTTCCTTTTATAAAATCATAGGTGATTGACGACTACATTTAGTTCTGATTCAAAGTCTAAACCACTGAACTGAATTTCCAGGAGAAGGAAAACAAGGACAGTGAGATGAAATCTATCTTCATACCTTTAAATTGACTATTATGAACTCCTTTAGGTAATATAAGGCCCTCTCCTCTAACATCCAGGGAGCTTGGGGTATCCACTTTGAAGAAAACTGTCCTAAGGCAAAAAAAATCCCAACACACAAGTAGGTGGTTCTTCAGAGACTTGATCAATTCTCTAATGCATAAACTGTTAATGTACTTCTCTGGAAAGTATCTCAAATACGGTGATGAGGTGAAATGTCCAACTGTACCAATACTGTATCTTTGATGAACATCCTTCCTATGCTGTTAGGTAAACTTCCTTTTGTAAAATATTATATAGTCAACAAGTGTCTTATTTTATTCTAGCCCCAAATGTGACCCATTGTACTGGTCTTAGTAAGGCCTCGCTTAGAACAGTATTATTAAAAGGATAGCTGGTGAACTCTAGAAAAAGAAGCAGTAATTACAAAGAATTAGCATGACTCCATCCAGAATAGATCATGCCAGACTCACTTATTTCCTCTCTGAGTGCTCTAGACATAGTTTACCTATTTTTTATTAAAGCGTTAGACAAATTCTTATCTTATAGAAAATATGGAGAGGTATGAACAAGACAATAATACAATTAGCTGAACTCAGAACTGGTGTGATAGACATATTCAAACTGTAATTATTAATGGTTCATTGTTAATGAGGCTAGAGATATCCAGCAGGGCTCCCCAGGGATCTGTTCTCAATCCTGTGATTTTTTTTATAATAGTTTGATCATTAATGTGGTTATAGAAATACATGACATGTTCATTATATTGTAGATGACACAAAGTTGGAAGAGATAGCTAACATACTGGTTGGAAGAGTCAGGACCCCAAAAGATCTTTTAAAGTTTGAGCATTAGCCTAAAATCTAATGAGATTAAATTCAATAAAATTAAATTTAAACTCTTAAACTCAGAAAACAAATCAAATTCATTAGCACAGGTTGAGGGAGGCAGTAGAGCCTAGAGAAGACTTTGTGGTTTTATTGAACTACAATCATAATATGGGTTAACAGTGTGGTGTGGTAACCAAAAATCTAATGACATACAATGCTGCATTGAGAAAAGCATAACTTTAGGAACAAGAAGGTGATAGTCCTACACTCTGACCTCATCAGACCTCATTTGGAGTACCAGATTCAATTGCAAGTTTCACAGTTTAAAAAGGTCATTTATAAGCTAAAGAGTGTCAAGATGAAGACAATCGGGCTGGCAAAGAGCCTAGAGTCCATGTCATATAAGGATTGTTTGAAGGAACTGAGGGTGCCTATGGTGGAGAAGAGAAGACTAAGGGGAGATATGATAGCTTTGTTAAAGCATCTGAAGATCTGTCATATGGAAAAAAGAATTAGATTTGTTCTCCTTGTCCCCAAAGGGAAGAAGCAAGATCCAGTCTTCATACCTTGCATGGAACCCCAGCTCCTGCCCTGGAAACTTGTCCTACTGATTTGAGAGTTCATTTAAAGATCTCTGAAATTAGAGATTCAAATATTCACATCATCAAAAATCACAGCCTAGTGTAGTGAAAGAACAATAAACAGGGAATAGGAAGATCTGAGTTCTAATACTTGTTCATTGTTATTTTAGACAGTTCAATTAACCTTTCACAGCTTCAATTCCTCATCTCTAAAATCAGGCAGTTGGGATAAATGATCTCTAAGATCTTTCTATCTCCAGAATACTTTGTTTTTTTGAACTAATTAGAATTTATAAACTGAGCAGCTAGGTGGCACAGTGGATAGAGTATGGCCATGTAGTTAGGAAGACCTGAGTTCAAATGTGACCTCAGACACTCTCTCTATGTGACCCTGGGCAAGTAACTTAACCCTGTTTGCTTCAGTTTCTGCATCTGTAAAATGAGGTGGAGAAAGAAATGGCCAACCACTCCAATATCTTTGCCAAGAATATCCCAAAGGGGTTCACAAAGATTTAGACACAACTAATCCACTAAACAACAACAAAAATGAACTAATTTAATTTGGTAAGTATTGATATGATATGATAAGAATAAGGATAGGGAGGGAATGCAATAACTCACCTGTCAATAGGATATCAACAAGAACATGCTCAGTAGTGGGGTTCCGGAAAGGTATAATTACAGACAAATGCCGACCAATACATGTACATATGGTCACTGGTTCCAAAGGTAGAGGAATGAGGCCTATTCCAGACAGATAAAATATCCATTCTTCAAGCTATTAAAAAATAAAATAAAAGACAAGTCTGACTTATTTAGACTAATGAATCACTTCTTTAACTACATTCACATCATATTCCAATTTTTGCAGTTGAAACGCCTTACGTTTTGGTATTCATTGTATGTCTATCCAATTGCCGTGTCTTTTTTTTTCTAAACATTACCGTACTTCACTAAAAAACAATTGATTAGTTTTCCCACTGAGGAGGAAAGGGGGCTAATTGCCAATATTCAAATGTCTAGCTCATTTTAAAGCATAGAAGGCTATTTATGACAACATAAAAGAGAAACCCTAATTGGAAAACCTTGTATTTCTGCTCAAGGCATTTTTAATTAACTCATGTAACAAACCGAGTCATAAACCCTGCATGCAGCTTCCAAAAGCTAGAACCTGATGCCAAATGTGATAAGGGTTTTACTACATAAGGGTAAGAAAACAATGTATGTTTTTACCTTATAGTAAAGGATAATAATCAGTAGTTAGGTGTGATATTATCTCTCATCCTCCATTACAATGAACTGTCTTTGTTTAATTACAATGAACACTACAGTAATGGTATTGGGGCTACTTCACTGTAAACATGGGAAGATCTAGGTACACTGTTCTTCAGCTGTGACACTGATTTTCAAAAGACTCATCTCTTTTCTTTGTTTGTTTTGTTTTCCATTTTGATGTGTGAATTATCCTGATTTAAATGTTTCCTAAAGAACCATGACTCAATCTAGGTATCTCTCTATACTCAAGCACACAGGGAACCACATGCTGCCCCATATAATAAATACATACCTAAACAATTGAATGACTAAATCAATCAATTAATCAATAAGAGAATAAAGATCCCAATAAACAAGCTAACAAGTAAACACACGCAGGCGTATATTTTTACATAGATGAATGTCTCCTTTTGAATTTCCAGTTTTGTGTTTTTAATTTTCTCAACTACCTATATTTTGCTAAGCCTGAATACCAGTGAAAACTAGCAACAGATTTTCTCAGTCTTTGAGGTAATCATTTCTAAACCAGCATGGATATCATATGTCCATTAGGTGACCCAAACATATAGAGATATCTTTAATTTGCCCATATTTACTTGTCTATATATTTACTGCTTCACCAAACAATCTGTAATTGGGCAGTTCAACATGTCTAAATTAAAATGTATTGAAAATTTCAATTAAACTATTGGCTACCATAGACTTAATTACCACTATATTAAAAAATATTCATATCTATCAAAACTATCCACTTGCATTATCAACTTGAGAGTATAGGAGAAAATTGAAGAATGAAACCATGTGTATACATATAGATAACTATTTTATATAAAGTAAATAAACAGCTTACTTTGTTTCATCTTACTGCTTCTCTAAGAATTTCATTGGAATCTTTAGAATTTTAATTAGAAAGCTCATAAAAGATGAAATAGGCTAGAGGTAATAGAGAGTAAATTTGGTTTGCACATTGAGCAGAGCTACAGGGGCCATCAGGATTGGCAGGAATCAGTGGAGCTTTCCATAGACATAGATTACAATGATCACTGACTCATGCTGGGTTTTAACAGCCTCATTGATTTTAAATAGTCTTCTTTCGTTTCTGATCTACTGACCTATAGGCTAAGAAATTCAAACAAATCAAGGGAAATTGAGATGAAGAATGGCCATGCTTAAGAAGAAAATGAATAAAGACTCCGAAAAACTCAAGTCAGCACATGACAGTTGATATATTCCAATGGAAGAGCCTGCTAGAATCCCACTTTTATTGTGCCTTCCTACTAACCTCATCTCACTCCATTAAAATTCTATTGCATAAAGAATGCCGGCTATTCTACCCCAAGTTTACTACCAGAACATATAACTAAGCTGCCACTTCAGTTATGGTACCCCAACAAAATTAATTTTAAGATTCAAAAATTGTAGTCAAGTGACTACAGCCTAAAGTTGGCTATTCACTGTGAAGAGCTCTCCAGAGATCCAAACCAGAAACAATGAAGCAAATAAATAACCTACACTAATTTTTCTCAATTCAGCAAAGAGACACAATCAGAAACAGTTAAAGCCTATACTATAAGCACTACCATTACTTGATTTTAGATTAGTCAGCTACTCAGCAATGAGGTAGCTTAAAGTGTTAGCTGAGATACATTTCATCAGCAAAATTCAGAGAGAAAAATCAATGTAGGTTTTCTTTTTTTTCTGGTACTTTAAAAGTTGTTCCAAAGTGCCAAATCTAGAACAAACTCTCATCATATCTTTAAAAAAAGAAAAAAATCTATCTTAGTTATATATACACTCATTCATAATAAAGATATTATTTCAAAATGTTCATACAATTAGTGCTTCCAGTGACCTGACATCAGTTTGCAGAGGATAGCAATCAAAAGAATTGAATAAAAAGAAAAAAAAAGAAATTATTCAGGGATAAAAATGGCAAATCAAACTCACAAAGGTGAGAGGAATACACTGAAAAGGTTGAGGGGGTCTGGACAAAGCAACTGAAAGAATGAGTTATTGATCACAGTAGAGGGGCACACAAAACCCTATAGATTCACCATTATTTGAAAGCAGATGTGCTGGATGATAGAAATGAAGCTTCAGCGATCAATTGGTCCATGAAAGGTTTAAGTGAATTATTTGATTGTTTTCTTGCTTTTATATTTGATGAAAAATTTAACTTTTAATTTACAGCCTCATCCTTTCTGAGCACTTAAGTTCAAAATAGATAACAGGTGTGCTGTGTTGTTGAACTGCCCCTGAAAACAGATCATTTTGATCAGAGATGCAAGCATAGTTCTTAATAAAAGGGTAAGGAAAGATGTCTCCAAATGCATCGCTTAAAAAATTTTGTCTTCTCAAATAGATTATTGTATTAAACAAAATAGACTCACTTTATCTTTGTTTTTCTCTTACTTATGTGACAAATTTCTGAAAAAAAAATCAAACATCAGGGAGTCACAATCAGGATCACACAGGACCTGGCAGTTGCAACATTAAAGGATCTGAGGTGATGGAACATGATATTCTGGAGGGCAAAAGAGCTTGTATTACAAGACTACAATCAAGAATCACTTACCCAGCAAAATTAAGCATAATACTTCAAAGGAAAAAATGGTCATTCAATGAAATAGAAAGATTTCAAGCTTTCATAGGAAGACCAGAAGTAAACTGAAAGTTTGACTTCCAATATAAAAACCAAGAGAAGCATAAACAGGCAAAAAGAGAAAATAGAACATAAGGGATACAATAGAGCTAAACTGTTTACAGCTCTACATGAGAAGATGATTTGTAATTCTTTAAAAAAATATCCCTAACAATACAGATAAAAGGAATGTACATAGATAGAGAATACAGGTATAAGGTAAATTTGAGGGAATGACATAAAAAAATTAAAGGATGAAAAAGAGGAATACAAAAGTGCAGAATGCAAGAAAGACAGTAGAGGGGAAGATGGAGGGGGGCGATGGGCATCACTTGAACCTTACTCACATCAATATTGGCTCAAAGAGGGAATAATTTACACAATCAGATGAATAAAGAAATATATCTTACCCGACATGGAAATAGGAGGGGAGGAGATTAAGTAAAGGTGAGGGGGAAAGACTCACATAAGGAAGGGCAGATCAAGAGAAGTGGTAGACAGAAGCAAAACACTGGTGAGGGGGGAAAGGGTGAAAGGAGAGAGAGGACAAACAGGAGGAAGAATAGGATGGAGGGGAATACACAGGGCGTGATTATAACTGTGAATGTGAATAGGATGAACTCTCCCATAAAACAGAAACAGAGAGCAAAGTGGATCAAAAACCAGAATCCTACGATATGTTGCTTATGCTTGAAGCTGGAGCAGAATCTATTATGCTTCAGCAGAAGTAGAAAAAAAACAAACAAACAAAACATGGAAAGCAATCCTGATCTTCCACAAAGTTAAAGCAAAAATATACCTACTAAAAAGAAATAAGGAAGTAATTTGAAATTACATCTTGCTAAATGGTACCATAAACAATGAAACAATCAAATGAGAAGAGCAAGGAATAGTTAACCTGTCAGATCTATGAGAAGGGGAAGAATTAATGACCAAACAAGATATGGACAGCATTACAAAATGTAAAATAGTTGATTTTGATTATGTTAACTTAAAAAGCTTTTATACAAACAAAACCAGGGCAACCAAGATTAGAAGGAAAGCAGAAAGCTGGGAAACAATCTTTATAGCAAGTGTCTCTAATAAAGGCCTCATTTCTCAAATATATAAAAAACTGTGGCAGAGCCAAGATGGCAGAGTGAAAGCAGTGACTTGCTTGAGCTCTCCCCCAAACCCCTCCAAATACCTGCAAAAAATGGCTCTAAACAAATTCTAACGCAGCAGAACCCACAAAAAGACAGAGTGAAACAAATTTCCAGCTGAACACAACCTGAATGGTTGATTGGAAAGGTATACAGCACTGGGCTGGGAGAGGAGCACAATTCAGCATGGGCGCGCAGGCTGCAGCAAACCTGGAACAGGCCTCAGAGGACTGAATCTCAGGCAGCTGTGGTGGTTTCCAGACCACTCAACCCATGAACGCCAAAGACAGCTTAGAAGGTCAGTGGAAAAAAAGTTTGTTTCTGCAGTGAGAGAGAAGCTAGGTCTCAGCCCCAGTTCCCAAGAATGGCCCCAAGGCGGTGGCTGCTTTCTGAGTTTCTGGCCCACAGACAGAGGGGAATAGAGTGGCTGATCAGAGGGGAATTACAGGGATCTCTTTGCCAGTGCTGAGGCAGGAATCTCTTCCTTTGCCCGTGCTTGGATCTGGGTGACAGTTCTGAGGGTCAGTCCTGGGGCAAGGAGGAACACTGGCATGGTGGAGCTTATAGTGGCGGTGGAAAGGAAATCCTCCTCAGAGTTCCAAGACAGAAAAGAGTGCTTGTGGTCACTTATAGACCAGAGCATAGGCGAGGAAAAGAGTAAACACCTCTGCCTGTATCATACCACCTTGGAAGAACTGAAAATTTACAGGTCACTAGAAG